GATGCTGCCGAGGGTCGTGACCAGGGCGATGCTCGCGATAGCCGCGATGCCCGTGACAGTCGTGACGGCCGTGACAAGCGCGACAAGAAGAAGCGGGAAAAGGGCCAGAACAAGGAGCGCACCTTTGGTCACTTTGACGACAATCTCCGCCTCTGCAACACCCGCGCCTACGCCCCCGAGTTCTCCCCGCGCGAATGCAAGTTTGGAGAGCGATGCAACATGCTTCATGACCTGCGCAAGTATCTCAGGGAGGGCCGCCGCGAGGACCTCGAGACCTTTGAGGGCAAGTGCCCCGTTTACGAGCAGTTCGGAGTCTGCTCGTCCGGCTGGAAGTGTCGCTTCGTCAAGAGCCACATGAAGGAGGTTGACCACGAGGACGGCCGCAAGGAGCTTGTTCTCGTCGAGGAGCCCAAGGAGGCCACGAAGACGAGCGGCGAAGCGCCCGCCGAGACCGGTCGCGAAGATCTCCGTCCCGGCGTCTACAACAACACCGAGAACCAGCTGAAGATCGACCTCAGCCGCAAGCGCATCGACTTCACGGAGACCGATAAGTACATCTCCTGGATGAACAAGGAGGCGAAGCTGGGCGATGCGTTCCACCAGCGCCGCAAAGACCAAGTGATTAGCACCCAGGAGGACCTTCGCGCGCAGTTTGTCGACCCGCCCCTGAAGCCGTCCGAGAAGCGCAAGCTGTACTTTGGTAAGGAGACGCCCGCCCTGGCGCCCCTGACCACCCAGGGCAACCTGCCCTTCCGCCGCCTCTGCGTCGAGCTTGGCGCGCAACTTACCTACTCCGAGATGGCCCTGGGTATGCCCTTGGTTCAAGGTGTCAAGAACGACTGGGCGCTGATGAAGGCCCACGAGTCCGAGATCAGCCCGCCCCGTGTCAACCCGGACAGCAACATCGTCCAGGGCTACGATAACGCGCGCGATCTCAAGTTTGGAGCTCAGATCTCCGGCAGCCAGGCATGGCACTGTGTAAAGTCGGCCGATCTTCTTAACCGCTACGTGCCCCACCTGCGCCTCATCGACCTCAACTGCGGCTGCCCCATCGACATGGTCTTCAAGTCGGGCGGCGGCTCCGCGCTGCTCGAGGCCCACGGCAAGCTGGAGCGCATGGTCCGCGGCATGAACACCGTGTCCGGCGAGATCCCCATCACCGTCAAGCTCCGCACCGGCGTCAGGCAGAACCGTCCGACGGCGACGACCATCCTCGGCAAGCTTGCCTTTGGCTCCCGCGAGAACCGCGACCGCCTCGGCGCCCCCGGCTGCGCGGCCATCACCCTCCACGGCCGCAGCAGGGAGCAGCGGTACACCAAGAAGGCCGACTGGGGCTACATTGCCGAGTGCGCCGCCATGATCAAGGCCTACAACGAGCAAAAGGACGACATCACCGACACGGCCCGCGAGGCGGACGAGTCCACCCTCCCCAACGCCAAGGACGGCCGCATGTTCTTCCTCGGCAACGGTGACTGCTACTCCCACGTCGAGTACTTTGAGCACGTCGAAAAGGCCAAGGTTGACACCCTCATGATTGGCCGCGGCGCCCTCGTCAAGCCCTGGCTCTTTGAGGAGATTGAAAAGGGCCAGTACCTCGACAAGTCGGCGACGGAGCGCCTGGCGTACGTGGAGAAGTTTTGCCGCTACGGCATGGAGGCCTGGGGCACCGACGAGCTGGGCATCGGCTTCACGCGCCGCTTCCTGCTCGAGTGGCTCAGCTTCTCGCACCGCTACGTGCCCCTCGGCCTGCTGGAGCACCTGCCGCCCGATCTGAACGATCGCCCGCCGGCGTACCGCGGTCGCGACGACCTGGAGACGCTGCTTGCTAGTAAGAACTACAAGGATTGGATCAAGATTAGGTACGTGTTGGTTGAATTTTCTTTGCACTTTTCTGCCTGGGTGAATGCCATGTGTTCAAGAATGATTTTGCTAACTCGTATTGCAGCGAGATGTTCCTCGGTCCCGCTCACCCCAACTTTACGTTCCAGCCCAAGCACAAGTCTCACGCCTACGAGGCCGAGGGCTAGATGCTGGTTATATGGACAACATGAAAGAAGCATTAGAGTTATATCTGGACCTGGAATGAGAAGCCCGCGGGGGAAAAAATCAGAGGTGGAGGGATACCTTTCTTTCTATCTTGAGCTTCGTTCAGCGCGGAGATGCCGCGTTCAGATGTAGTTGCATCCTCGACGTAACTCAAACTTTGAGGAAACATGAGATATAGCTGGAAGTGGAACAGAGAAGAAGAAGAATCAAAAGTTTTTGTTGCAATCACTTGAGAGGAAGAAATATCGTTCAGGATTCTGGTATTCGATGGCATTGTGAACCTAGTGACGTCTCTGAATCCTTGCCGTTGGATCCATTCAAACGAAGCGCGAAGCATCACCAGGAACTCAGTATCCCTTGGGTTCCCTTACAACAGCAAGTTGCCTCTTTGTTCTAATGTCCACCACAGTGAGCGCAACAGCAAGACCAGAATGCCTCTCATTCCCCCTTATTCCTGTCCTCCCGTGATCTCATTGACTAAAACTCATTGTCCTCTCCGCACCGGTATGATCCTCCGCCGTGCTACGAACTCTCTCAAAGCAAACAAACGATATGACGAAGCCCACTGCATCACCACCTCACCCGAAAGACCTCCCTGCATGCCCACCTCCTTCAAATCTGTACGATACCCCAGAAGTGGCCTCGGTCGATAGGATGGCCGGCCAGGTGTTGCCGAAAGACATTCTAAACGGAAGTAGCATTACCCTTAGCGACGACCGAGACCTGGGAGCTGTGAGTAGTAAAGATGAGCGTGGTATTGTCATCGGCGTACAGCGTGGTGGTAGCCTTGGTGGTGACCTCGGGAAGGACGTGACCCTTCTCCTCGTCTTCGTGGGGGACCTTCTTCACAAGAGTAGGGACATGGACAGTGGCAGCGGTGACGGCGATTATAGCAGCTGTGGTAGAGTCACCGCCGGTGGTGATGGTCGAGTTGATGGCTTGGACTTCGTTGTTCACCTTGGGAGTGTGGGCGAGTGCGACCATGACGAGGGCGCCGAAGACGGCGAAGGTGGCGCACATGAGACTTAGGGTGAAGGTTTTGAAGCGGCCACTGTTTGGATTTCGTGAGTCAAAGGTTAGCTATTGTTTCTTCCCTGTTTATTGGGTCTGTAGATGTTCTTTTTTTTCTGCGGCGTAGTGTGATGTGATGTGATGTGACGTACGGGTGGTGAAGGCGGATGCGGCGAGGTCTGGTCTCTCTGGTCTCGGGTGCTTGGGTTTGCTCCATTGTGTGGTGTATGTAGTTGGCTTTGGAGGGGGGGAGAAGTTGTTGGTTTTGTGTAAGTTGGGATCTCTTTCTTCTCGATGTTTGGGTGCTCGGTGAAGGAAAGGTTGAGTTGGGCTTTGAAAATCGAAGGAGGCGGCTGTGTGGGCACCGGATGATTTCTTAATCCTTCGTGTGTAGTGTTTTTTCTGAAAAGGTATGGGGGTGATGAGAAGGACGAGAAAAGTTAGGAAGTCGGTGGTCGAGGGTCAGGTGTAATTTTACCAGCTTGGAAGGAGACAATATCACCGTGCTCCTCCTTCTCATTACGTATCGCACCTTCCGGCGGACGACTTTTTGATCCTGCTTTCCTAATCCGAGGGATTCAGTACTCATGGTGTCTCTACCACGAGTGCCTGCTTCGTTATTATATAAGTCCTTGCCTTTGCTACAAGGCTTCGTGGGCATATTCTACCGTGAATACATGACGATGGACTCATGCTTCAAAGGGCAATAGTGGGAGCGGCAGCCATAGAACTGATTCAAAGCTGGATAGCTGAACTACATCACTTCGACTCCAACACTTTGATTTTCCTCTTCACATTGAGTGTCTGCCTACACAGATGTAGAAAGCTAAATCTATGCTGCGCCTTCTGCTTCAATGCGGGAAGACTTTCCGGACAACTTTTCTGGTTCGCAGACATCTATAAGTAAGTTGCTCCGCCTACTAACGCAGACATCTGCCGCTTCGACGCTGCGTCCAATTTCCAAGATGGCAAACGACGCGCCTCCTGGGTTACCCTGCCCCCTATGTTTAGTTCTAGGCCACTTGCAACGCCTCTTTCGAGCCACAAATATCCCCGTTGTAATCGAAGAGGCCGAAGAGAACTTACATGATGATACATACCAAGGCAGTAAGTCTCTGACAATTGAAGATGACGGCGACCCTATCCCTGATCACCTTATAGGTAGCGTCACTACCGATGAGGGGGATTTCCTGGATCCAGGAAATGGTTTAGATGAAGAAGAGACCGTTTGCAACCTTACTGGAGTGCCGGATAACCCAAAGAACTCATCTTGGCGGCTGGGTGATGCCAACACGCGCCCTTTGATTTCAGCTACATCTCGCAATCCAACTGCAAGAGATATATTGCACTCAAACAACACATCGGGTCCTTTCTGCAGATCTTGCGCAGAAACAGGGATCACTCTAGCCAGAAGTACAGAGCGGCAGTTTCACCGTTACCTTGTTCAGGCTGCCGTCGGGACCATCCATCATCCCTCTTCTCAGTAAAGCAACGGCAAGAGGAGCCCGATGCACGGATCTGCATCGGTCGAGAGGGACATCTCAGGCTCCGTGAGCACAGAACATTTGACTGGGACGAGTTCGTGCACACTTCTTCGACCACCAATGCGGACACGAGCATTACATGCAACCATCCAGATCACTTAAGAGCTTCAAAAAAAGCCAGTCGGCCTCCGCGCGCGGCTTGGAAAGTCACCTCTCACAGCTGTGACAGGGACACCCAGTGAAGTCAAGGCAACATTCGAGCATACGAATGGCTACGCTTCCTGGGCCAGTGAAATTGGTCTCGACAAGAGGGCCCATGTAAAGATTCTCGCATACAAGCTTAGAGCACAACCGGGATCAATGTTACTTGCCAGCGATCTCTGACAACGCCTAGAGACGCAGCGGAGGCAGTCGCCTTGTCTATCGTTTCCAGAGGAAGACCCTCTTCAAATCGATGCTATGGCGTGCTTCAAGCCATTTCGTTGCATGTGCATAGTCGACGGGAACGAGAGAGAGAGAATCCAGCTGGAGGGCATCGCTGGCTCGTTCAGCTGGAATCCATCTGCAAACGAGTGTCCCCGTAAGATTCCCCCAAAAGATTCGAGACAGAGACTTGACTGCAAGTACGAGTACTAATCGCACAGAGGCATATTATCACAGAGAGGGTCGGTGGTCTGGAGACGGCACGGCATATATACATACTGAATTCTCGCGCTGTAGTAAACACGATGGCTGCGTCATATTGTCTCACAGGCGCTCGATACGGCGGCGCATGTCTACTACCCAGGCGCTGGAGCCTTGCGACTCGCAATGGTACCAGGCTTTGGACCCTTCGTCTCACGATCTAGCCGACGACGTCGAGTTCAAGAACGTGACGTGGTGCGAGGACGCGAGGTGTCGGAATTTCTACAGGTTCCGGGAGCATGCCAACGTGGGCACCTCGACAAGTTGAAGGGACTTGGTCCATAGATGTTCAGGAGTATGTATGGGGTGTTCAAGTTAGTCCAACTACTGAGGAATAGTGTAGGATAAGCTTTTCTACTCGTTCCGTTAAGTTTAAATAGATCGCAAAGGCAAAGTCAAAGCTATTCCTCTCTTTAGCACTTGTCGTGTTGCCTACCCAGCAATATGATTTGGATACAAGATACGGTAAGACCGCCACTCGTTCACTCTTCTCATAGTATGAGCAAAACATCTTGATCATTGTTTAGAACTGTCTTCCTCTTAATCCATATGACAACCCTCGATCCGCGAAGAAATCCCCCCAGAGGATCAAACGTCCCCTAATCCGTCTATCACCTGAGACTAGGCACATGACACGACGGAATCAGGCCGGGCACCCGGCACCGTTGTAAGCAGTGCAAACAGCCCTGAACCTCTCGTTCGGCTGGTTAATGCCCTGGAACGTGTCCCTGCACTGCTGCTCGGTCCACTGGCTTGACGTCTTACACTGCCCATCGTAGACTGTGGTCAGCATAACATTTTCCTAACAGCCAGATATGGCAAGAGCAATGTGTATGGGAGAAGGATGGCAGACAGGCTTCACTTACGACATTGTAGTTCCCGGCGGAGTTATGGCAGATGGTTCCGCCAACGGCGTCACAGAGTCTGATTGCGGCAATGACTGCGTTGCCATTGTTGAGGATTTGGCAGTGGCAGGAGAATTGGCTTGCTGCGAGCGGCACCCTGGTGATTTCCCATCGTTAGCTTTCATCATTGTATTGTTTTGCTGTGCGGAAAGATTCTTTCCAGAGGCGGGGATGTTAATACCAAGCTGCAAGGGAAATGAGGCTGACGACGTTGAACTTCATGTTGGCTGTGAGGAAAAGTTGGATTTTAGATGATTCAAGTTAGATGCCTGATAGAAACGAGATTAACTGAGGAAGTGAGGATGATGTCTATGAGATGACTATTCTTCCAGGAACCGGGCATCGTCAGTCATCTTATACAAGTCATTGACTATCGCATCTCTTCACCAAGTTCTCCTCTTTGCATCAACTTCCCACCTCTCATTCAGGCATGTTGGACCACAAACCTTCCAAGACTCCAAGATGCATGACTTCGTTGACCAAGTTCCTTGGCCTCGTAACTCCGTCCGTCCGTCAACCCAGGGCCGCAGAATGGAGCGGCCGCTTCAAGCCCTTCAACACCAGCAACATGATTCACGATACTTTTACGCGCCAAGCCGCATCCCACGCGAGCCCGAAATATACTATCCACGCAAATTCTTATCTTTCCCTACACTAGGCTCTAGAGATTTATAAAGCCAGAAGCGGACACCAGCTTTTCCCAAAATTCCCAGTATCCCCATTGATCTGCATAGACTGGGGTCCTATAAGAGGCCATGATCAACCGTGGCGCAATCAAAGTCAGCAAAAGTTACCTGTGAGCTTTCTTCTTGTTTAATTAATTATAGTATCAGACTAGTTGACAACTCCCCCCCGAAGTCTTTCTTTCGCATTTAACCGCAACTCATAACCTTAACCAGACCCAAGTTGTCAACCGTTTCTTGTGGATGGCAACTCGGCCGAGACCCCCATCGCCAAGAGCGTACCAAGGAACAACCGAACGACAACTCCAGAGTTGGACCAGGAACCTGTGTCAGTCACAGTCGACAAACAACTAATATGGAGTCGGACTCTACGGAAAGTTTATGACCAGTCAAATGTTTCTCTAGATTGGACTACACGAGCGATTGTCGAATGAGGAGAGTTCCAGCCTCCCACGGATCTCTATAGCACGGGTTAAAGCAATATACCCGAAGTGTTTCAACTTCTTTCACCGCCGTACCGCCGTGAGAAGAGCCCATGGTGGATGTTATTTGCCAAGCAACCTGGAAAGCCTCACCTCTTCATGCTTCATCTCTTCATGCTTCCAACTCTCCCACTGGTAGCCGGCCGTCCGAACACGAGTTCGTGAGCCTGTTCGTCGGATCACCGCCAAATTGCCAAGTCCTCATTATTGAAGTTACGCATATGATGTTCATCGGTAAAGCAGTTGAAGGAACTCAGATTTCGAACAGAAATGTAACCTGCCTCTGACTTTCAAGATGTATTAATACAAGAGATGTCCATCACCATGGAACACAACTCTTCACCAAGATACCTCCCATCATCAAGTCCACTTCTCCAAACAAGTCCCAAGCCATCCACCCACTGCTCTACTCCTCCTTCTCTTCTTAGAAATTTCAAGAAATCTTCAATCTACACAATGCAGTTCAACATCAACACCGTGGCCCTCCTCGCCGCCCTCCTCCCCCTCGCATCCGCCGTCCCCTCGGACGCCAACGCCGTCGAGGCCGCCCTGGCAAAGAGGCAGAGGCAGTACCAGTGCGAGACCTCGAACAACCTCGGCGCCTGCAACAACGCCATTGCCAAACTGAGAGGTCACGAGGCCAGAGGCTGCGATGTCTGGTGTAAGTCTCCCTTTTCCATTCTTCCTCCCTCCACGGATACGCGTGCACACACCTTTAGGAAATATGACATGGCTGACAAAAAGGGGTGGAATAGCATGCATCGGTGCCTTTGCGGCCCTGATCCCGGCTTGCGGAGCTGCTGTCGATGAGTTCTTCTTGAGTAAGTCGCTCATGTGCGGAAGTAGCGCATGGGGATTACGGCTGACTTTGATGTAGACCCCCTCGCTGATGTCGCTTGCATCGGAGCCGTGGCCAACTTCCAAGGCCCTTGCAAGGGTTGTGAGCCTTTCTAGATGGAGTGAGGTTTTCCAGACAGCCAAGCCTTTGAGCACGAGATACATTTTTCCCACGGTTCTTTCCTAGGGAGGGAATACGACCTCCCGGGCAGCCATAGCAAAGAGGGGCCGTCATGACTGAGATGGCGGGACTTATATAAGGACGTAGAAGAGATGCATCATACATACCTTTGGGCCATAGACGCATGGCTGTGAGGGTATCGAGGAACACGGGATGCGTTTGTCCTTGTTGTAAGCACGTTGTTAGTGGCCCAAATGAACGATAGCATTACTTTTTTCCCCCCCATTCTAGGTGCATTTTGATGATTCGTCCGATATCACCATCCTGTAGCTTCCCGTGGCAACGTCGTTGATACTCTTGTGAATAAATTCAGGATGACTACGGTTACCCAGTACGAGAGAGTGCTTTGGCTGATTGGGACGTATTAGAGCAGTAAAATCGACAGATGATACCGATGCGTTAATCCTGTTTGTGGATCTTCTTCCTGACCGGTGCATGCCTCCGAAATCGAAGTGCCAGCTGCTCGAAGCTCCGTAGAAAATGGAAGGCGGGTGGCATTTTATACATCATCCGGGTCCAACAGCTGGGACACTACTGTCTTTCTGCTCGGTCGACATAACGAGGCGCCCCGAAGCAGCATCTACTTTGGGAGCATAAGTATGGAGTGTATTGTGTTAAAAGGAGAAGCTTTATTAGAGCTAGAGCTTAACGCCATCCAGGCTTCCTACGTACGCCTCTATACCAGTGAAACGGGCCAATGACCCGGAGCTATTCTGTCGCTCTCCCACTACCCCCTTTTATGCCGCACTCAGGCGGCGCTTTCGTTCATGTAAGAACGCTTCATTGAATCGAATATCCGTATCCATTGTGCTGAATTACTGCGCCTTCTTGTCACCCTTGGGCTGGGTGGAGGCGTACTGGTCAGAGAGCTCGTCGTAGCTCTTGTGCAGACCGGCGCTCTGCTTCTTGAGGGTCTCGAGGTCGCGGTTCTTCTCCTCAAGCTGCTTGCGAAGCTTGGCGATCTCACCGGCATCTCCGGCAACGGCAAGCTTCTCGCTCTCCTTGGTGTTGCCCTTGGTACCCTCGTAGCCGCGGACCTTGTCCTCCAGACGCATCACCTCAAGGATCATAACGTAGGTGCGGTTGAGGATGAGGGAAAGGAAGAGGGTGAAGCCGCAAAGGTACATGTTGCGCTGGGAGTAGAACTTGCGGGCTTGCACCTCAAGGCGCTCGTGACCCATGACGGCGGCGCTGTACAACATCTTTGTTAGCGTTGTGTACATCGGGGAGTTTGTAGAGTTTGATTGTGGTGCTCAATCAAGGGAGCGTCTCAGGAACGCCGGAAAGAGGGGCATAGGAGACGTACCCGCTGTTCTGGTTCTCAGTCGCAATCGCCAACTCGACTTGGACGCGGTAAACGCGGTTGACGCTGTCAATGAACAGAATCAGGATGAAGACGAATGTGATCTTCATCCAATACTGCACTTTTGCCACGATTGGACTCTCGGAGATGAAGCTGCAAAGAAGTGTACGTCAGTAATCGGTTCGGGATGATTGGTATGGGCTCGGCAGTGGAGAAGCGGTCGACGGGGGGAGGAACGTACGTGAACAACTTCCGCTTGACGGCGAAGGGAAGGGGCACCAGAAGGAGCATGAAAAGCCCCATCTCCGCCATGAGGAGCATGAACACCTGTGACGCACAAAGTCAGCACATGTAGTCAACGGCTCGGCAAGCTAGTCATTCGACCAATGGCAAAGAGGATAGATGGCAGCTTGAAGCCGGGTGCTGTAGACGTACGAGAGTGTAGTAGAGAGTCATCTTGACTGGTGCGGGGAAAGCTTCAGCTCTCGGGACAGCTAGTTAGAAAAAGGGATTGTGGTCGTGTGCTCTCCGTGGATACAGGGAGAGATGTGTCGTGCGAAGGAATACACTCGGAAGCCCAAACTGACTTCTTCGGTTGTGTTCTTGTTGGGTATCGTTCTTGGCGAGGGGAGGTTTTGGTGTCTGGAGCTGTGATTTGTAGGAGTACAGTTGACGGGCTGGGCGGAGCTGGCCTTTTGTAGGATGGGCGTGAGGGTGACGATGGGGTCCGGTAATTCTGGCAAGTAAAGGTGGCAGGTACGTGAATACAAGTACCCTCTTTGACGACTGCCTGAGCACCTGAAGGTAAGGTACTGCGTAAGGTATGGAACTCAATGAGAGGAACCCTTACGTAGCCGGGACGGGAGAGGGACCTTGGCGGGAGAACAGGGCTGGGAGCAGCTAGCAAGTGCAGCTAGCAGTGTGCCAGAGCAGCCGTAAAAAAGACGTAAGTCAACAACGTCATCGGTGGCTCGTGCACACTCCCTCCCAGGGTTTGCGGAGGGAGCCACTGGGGGAGCTCAGGCACGCAGCTTTTCTATGGTCTTCTTCAGTGGTGTGCTGCGGCTTGCGGGCTTTCAGCTGAGCCCGTCGAGTGGCCTTTGTGTCCGCAAAGGTGTTCAGCGACGGCTGTGTCGTCAGCTGTCACCAGATGGGAGCACACCGGCAACCAATACCTATGAGTCTGGAGTACGACTGGCTTCTGACGCTTGTCATCCCATGTGACGTCAATCGTGGAATCGTCCAGACATGGAATGATAGCAGTGCAAAAGCGGATAGGTATTCTGACGAACTAACCCGGCCCAGAACCCGCTCATGGTCTCGCAGGTAGTATACTTTAGAGCCGTAAAGATGCCAGTTTAGTCACAAGTCTCGTCTCGTCGCGTTCACAATTCGCATTTCTTCTCTCAACGTATGCACAGCAACAGAGATGATTTGATAATTGATAGTTGATGGTCAAGAATCCTGTCGCTTACACTACCGCTACTCATGGCTTTGAACTGCGTAATCACACATCAAATTGAGGCCAAGATAACCAAGCGGCAACTCCATCCGCTCCCACTACCAAGGGACGCGATCATGAACCTGAACGCCCAGCTTTTGAGTCCTAACCGGACTTACAAACATCCCAGCCGGAACTGAATCGTACAAAACCTACAAAGAAAAATTCGTCTCTCCACTCGCCGCATCACTCGTCACACCGCTTTATCGTTCCTGCCAGATAGGTCGCCCTTCGTGACGAGTTGTTTATATATAGTTTAGTTGTAGAACACGCTCTTCTGGAAGCTCTCGGGCGAAACGTCTCCGATCTTCGTCTTGATCTCCGGTCCCTTTTCGGGAGCGGCGCCAGTGAGCGAGTTGCTTCGACTGCTGTCGCTGGGCGCACCCTTGATGGCAGCGAGAGGCTGACCAGGTCGCTTAATCACCTCGAGGTAGGTCGAGGGGAGGTAGCCGGTACGGCCATCACGCGCGCGGCACCTCCACCACTCGCTAGGGTTACCGATAGGATCGCTCTTGGAGAGAACAGCGACAAGGTCGCCCTTGCGCACTTCCATGTCAACGTCCTTGACGGCGTTGCCAGGCTGAGGAGCGTAGTCGTACAGGAGACGGCAGTAATCAAGCTTGGACGGGTCCAAGGGCTGTTGCGCGCCGGCCAGAGCCATACGGCGACGTTCCTCTTCTTCCGCAGATGCAGCCATGGTGTTGATCATCTTGCGCATCAGGTACGGGAGACCGAAGGCGGCAAGGAGGAAGAAGAAGAGCGGCTTGCGGGAAGCCTTGGGGGGTCCCAGGGGAGCACCGTCGGGGCCGATGGGCGATCGGCCTTCGAATTTGGCAAAGGCTGCTGGCGTGAGCGCGGTCGCGTCGGCTGGAGGCGGGCGGCCGGTGATCTTGGCGATGAGGGTTCGGATCCAACGCATCAAGGTGAAGATACCGAGTATCGAGCCCAAGGTATCCCTAAGGTTGCTGAATTGCTCTGCTACTGACACCATTGCTGTGATATCTGTTAGTCATACTTCGCTTTCATGTGACGCAGTTGACATACCAAAGAAGCTTGAGTGTGTGGCCATGTATGTGCTCTCCAACATCTGGGCAAAGCCTCCAAAGGCACCAACGATGCCTTCCAACATTTGGAATGTCGCCTGCGTGCTGTTGTTGAATCTGTTGGTAAGGCTGTTCGGGTCGTTGGGCCCTCCCATGCCTCCCATACCGCCCATGCCCATACCGCCGCCGTACATGCCTCCACCATACATGCCACCGCCGTAGCCACCTCCATACATGCCACCACCGTACATACCACCGCCGTAGCCGCCGTAGGAACCCATCCTTGAGTATGGGCTGCTGTAGGGAGAAGAGTAGGCACCGCCGCCGTATGAGCCGTAGGGACTGGCAGCCGCACCTAAGCCTGCTCTGCTATAAGCGGCAGCGTTTTGGTCAACCGTGGAGGCGAGAGAGGCAGGTCGTTCGGGAACGGCGGGCGGGGTACCACCGGAGAGGGATGTGGCCGGTGTCGGGGTCGCGATAGATGCGGCAGACATGGGTGTGACTAGAGTGGTCGTTAGCAAAATGTGTGAAATTGGCGACGGTCAAGGACCGTTTGTGGTGTTCAACGCACTTGAGGCAGCTGTTGTTGGAGCACCGGCCCGTTCCCAGGGCTTTGGAGGGGAAGCCATAATTACTTTTCCCGCGAGGAAGAAGTTTTCCTTGGATACTGTGTGGTGGTGGTCGCTGGCTCGGCGTTATCTCGCAATCCGCCTATCGGGAGCGCAGCCGGTGGCGATTTTCTCGAGTCGTGTTGGTTTGCCGGTTGCTGCACGCTGGGGCTCCGGATATGCGCGACGGAGGCTGGCGTTAACCGGCCAAGTCGTCGGGTTGAACTGACAATCAACCTCAATGGGAGATGCAGTGAAAATGAGGATTTGAACGACGTTTTGCGACGTGTTGGAGAGAGGGGAGGGAAAGATCGGGTCGGGGATGGGCCACGGGTAAGAGAAAGCTGGAGGGTCGCTGGGATGGCGGAAACAAGTTGGGCTTGCAGCGCAATGCACCTGAGTAATAATGGGGGGCCGCGGCGGACGGGGACGCAGTCACAGTGCTGGGCAAGTGACCCCGGAGGCTCGTGCTTGGCGATTGGCAGTGAAGTGAGGTGGATGAGGTGAGGAGAGGAAACTGGAGACTTTGGCCTTTGGGGGAGGCTCGGGAGAGTCAGCGGTTGGAGGCGCAGAATATCAAAAAGATGGGGTCGGGGACGGGCGGGTCCCGCTCCTCCTTTCTGCGTCCAGTGGCTTCCATTCTTGCCTCGGTATCTTTCACATTAGTTCCGACGTGGGCGGCCCAGGCCTCGCACCCGCGCCGCAGTCACGTCCTTCTGCCGAGGCATCTTGCACCCTGGGGAAATTTGTCGTCCCTCCCGTCGCCATTTCGCATTAGCTTTACCGTTTCCAAGACTCTTGAATCTGGGGTTTCCCCGGTTGTTTGGGCACTCGACGCTTTGCTGGATTTGCTGATCGACGATTCGTGCTGCAGAGTCGTTGCATTACTTTACTAGCACTAGCATGCTATCTCGCCGCGAACCAAGTTGATCCGCCCTTCAATTATTTCACCAACATAAAATGTTCGATACTTAATCCTACTTTCAAACATAGAAGTAATCCAAAAACAAAAACCATTAACATGATTTCATCCATCAATTGTTTTTTACTTATTGCAAGCTAACAAGCCGATCTAGCATAGTAGACCAGGACCTACGACAGTCCAGAAAAGGCCTTGGCATTCTTCACATGCTCCTCCCACGTCGTCAACTTATCCTCAACAATCGCGTGCGACTCGTCCAGCTTCTCCCCACCATAGTACCCAAACTCGTCGAGCAGCCTCATGTTCTGCAACATCTCCTCAGCCACGAAATCCGGCATCCCCTGGCCCTTGAGCGCGCCCTTGAACTGCTCGTGTGTGAGCTCGTTGAACCGCGCCGTCTTGCCCGCCTCCGGGTACACCTTCTTGAACGTCTCGACCGCCTCGCCCGCCGTCACGTAGCTCGTCGCCGCGTATACCCGCTTGCCGAGCACCTTTTCGCGGTGCAGCACGATGCCCTTTACAAACTTGCCCGTGTCGGTCGCTGCGTCAAACAAGGGGATGGGCGCGCTGGCCGGCACGGGGAGGCTGAGGCCCCAGGCGTTATCGGGGGGCGTCTGGCGGAACATGCCCCCGGGGAGGTTGGCCATGTAGAAGCCCGGGAGGAAGAAGGTTGCGGGGAGGGAGGTCGTACGGATGTACTCTTCGACGGCGGCCTTGCTGTCAAAGTGGTACACGTCGGGGAGGGCGCCCTTGGATACTATTGTTGCGTGACATGTTAGCGTTCCCGGATCCTCATTCGCAAACGTGACAGATGCATGTATCTTTTTGGGAGTGGGCAGGCAGGTTACGTACGCTTGTTGACGTCGAGGAGGGAGCTGAAGATGAAATGCTCGACGCCAGCCTCCAGAGCCGCGTCGGCAATGTTCTTGCCCTGCTGGATCTCCAGCTCCTTGTCCATCTTGTCCCAGTAGTTGGTCACGGCGAAGACGGCCGAAGCGCCCTTGACAGCGGCAGCCAGCGAAGCCTTGTCACCGAGGTCGGCCTGTGTTTTGAAGTTCACAGCACTCGTCAGCATGACAATTGCAAGATCATCGGATCAAAGCTACGAAGGCGCTCGACAGCGGATCAGTGACTTACAGCGACAACCTCGACGCCCTTGGCCGCGAGAGCCTTGGACGAGTCCTTGGTGGCATCGCGGGTGACGCCGCGGACCTGCCAATCCTTGCTGAGCTTGGCGTCGTTGAGGAAGATGTTGACGACGCTGCCGCCCTGAGCGCCCGTGGCGCCGAACACGGTGATGATCTTCTTGGTCATTTTCGTGCGTATTGGGTGGGTTTTCTGTTGTGATGGTGATCTGTTTGATACAAGTGTCAGTAACCTAGTGTTCGTCTTCGACCATCACACTCCCATGTTGGGGAAGCGTTGAATATTAAATACCTTAATCGTGCGATTGAATCGGAGTAGTAAGAGTTGAAGTGCTGTTGGAATGGTAGCTTGATGATCTTCTCCAAGATTCAACGTCAATAAAGACTAGCGATCGTCCGGTCTTTATACACAATGGCGCTCATGAACCTCTCTGCCCGCCCCTCCCCCAAGACGCATATGTCTCAGGACGTGGACGAAGTACATAATGCTAGACACACCTCGACATAAGCTACCAGATTAGGTAAAGCTAGGGCGCGCGGGAGAACCCCTCATCATCATGCACCTTCGTCTTACCCACAGGGTCGTCCGGTAGGTATACTGAAGAGTGGTAATCTCGCAAGGCTGGGGACCTCGCGCCCGCGCGCATACCTGTTCGCGCTGAACCGTTAGGAGGATTCCTTTCCCCTCTCCACCTTACCTCACCATACTATCATGAGTATGTAAGCGGCGACTTGGTATGTACCTCATACTGTCGATTTACAATCTACAAAAGTCTATCGTACTGAAGCCCCGCGCGAAGTCTGGCCTATCCAGATGGGGAAAAGCCGTATAAGCTACCTACCTTTTGGTTGGACAACTACAAATCAAAAAGCTGTACGTGTTCCCGCAAGCCGTGCATGCTTACCATGTATTGACTTTCCTACCACAGACCAAGCGTAGCTCTAATCGATCTTCTACAGGCTACAGAGTTATGTGTTCTGTACGCGTATGGACCATGGGAACTCTGTAGATGGTTGCTATGCTGGCTCTGTATCCGAAGCAAAGTAGAGAGAGACATGGTGGGGAAAAGACCCCGGACCTCTCGCGCGGGAGCTTACAAAGCCTCGCGGTTCGCCGCGCCTATGAGAATTTCACCCCATCAAGGATCCGCGAGCTTCCACCCCGTACTTGTCATCCCTCCCCCCAAACCGCGAAAGCGAAGTCGCGAGATGGGCCACATGGCATAGCGTGCGCCTACAATATTCCCAAGTTTATCATTGTAATGCAAGATTTATCAGTCTGACGAGAACAAACTAGACATTTTAGAAATCCACAATCGCCAAGAACAAGTTGAAAATGGACAGCGCGAGTAGTCGCGCGGCATAGGGCAACACTCTTTCATGTACATTTGTCAGGCGCACGGAGGGTTAGCCGGTTCGGATGTCCGTTCGCTCGCCGCCCCGGGTTCCGGAGTTTCCTGCAACGACCGGGACCACACCCACGCATTTACCACTATAGGTATTCGACAACGACTCTTCGTCTTGTTCAGAACTTCAGATGTGTTTGCCTTCCCCGGTCTCGCGCCACAAAGACAAGTCAGTGACATGTTCAGACACACAAACGTCCACGTCTGTTCTTGCGACTGTCATCTGCCCTGCAACGGACAACTTTGTGGCTTGTGGCGCAAGTGAGCTGTCTTCAGCGGAAAACGCCACAGAGCTCGGACTTCTTCACAAGGCGCAGCTACCTGGAACTAAAGATGTGACATGTGACTTCCTTCAAGCAAGCCTCCGTGTTCTTTTGTGTGAAGCGGCAGGTCTAGTCATCAAGGAGTATATCACGAGTCACAACGAGCATGAGCATAGGTAGTCAAGCCACGCTTGTTTGTTTGAAAAATTTGGTATCAATTGGTATCTCCTCCCTTTTGGAGAAGAAGACTCTCTGACTAAACTGTCTTGCAAGAGAAAAAACCAATCATCCTGCCTCCTTTCCATAAAATCGTAAAGAAAAAAAAAGGGCGCACTTTTCCGGGGCCGGTGGGTATCTTCGTCTTAGACGCCGTCTAATGTCGTTTCGCAATCCCCTTGCCCCCAAAGGCGAAGGTAACAGGTACCCTCGCATGTCGAAGAAAAAAAGTCTCAAGTCATTGGATGCCGAAGATCCAATGCAGAAAGAAAAGGTCTTGCTTGGGCTCAATCCAGCGAGAAGAAGAGAAAGTAATCGTCAAACCCCCAATCCCATATATGCAAATCGTGTACTTGTTGGAATACCATCCAAGTAGAAATCAAAACCGCGGAAACACTCAAGACGACAAAGCGAACAAGGAGACCCGGTTGCTCTTGCCGCCGGTGCTTGCGGTCGAGACGGAGTCGGCAGAGAGCCAGCCCTCCACCTGGGAGCGGGTGATGCCAGAGCTCAAGTTGACGCTAGAGTCCAACATCTTGACTGAGACCTGGCCAGAGTCACCATCTAGGACAACAGCGACCTTGGCGGGGGCGCCAGTAGGTCGGTCGAAGTAGTCGGATGAGCCGCCGGGGACGTTGGAGTGGATGGTTGACTTGCACTTGGTATCGCCAGTGGCGAGGACCTCGAGAACGTCGAGCTCACCACAAGCAGGCCAGCAGGAGCAAGAGCTATACTGAGCAACGCGGGGGATGCGAGCGTTAAGGAACCAAAGAGCGGACATGTCGGCGTTGAAACCAGTGGTTCCGTCGAGAGGCATGCTCAGCTCAAAGAGCCAGACTGAGTCCTCACCCTTGAAGCCGTCTAAGATGTGTAAGCAGACAGGAAGGCAGAGCAAGATTCTATGAATTACTTACGGTATGCAACGGAGCCAGGGCGAGAGTATCCACAGCCACCATCGTCGCATGACTTGTCGCTGGCGATCAGGAACTCCTGGTTGGACTTGAGGGTGATCGGCTTCAAGACCTCGGGTGAAGCGGCACCGCCAGTACCCGCGGCATTCAGGTAGGACAAAGAGTTGCCAAAGACGCTGATCCCAGTCAATACACTGTGACTCATGTATAAAGAATCATCTCAAAGTGACACTTACTTGTCGAACTTGCCAGAGAGCTGGCCACCGTAGTTGCCAAGGAACACGATGCCATCAGCAACACCCTGATCAGCGTTGTAGTAGCCGACACGCTCGTAGTCACCACTAACAGAGCCAGAGCCAGAGCTTGAAGCAGCCTTGGAGCTAGCAGGCTGAGGAACAGCAGCAGCGACGGGGGGCTGAGAAGGAGTGGGAGTAGGGCTGGGCGCAACAACAGGAGCGACAGCAGGGGTCGCAGCAGCAGCAGGAGGTGCCGCGGGGGTAGGGCCAAAGTAGTTGTTGATCCAGGATACGACCTTGCCGTCGATTTCCGCAACGACCCAGTCTTCGCCACGCTTCTCCTCCTTGGGCTCCTCTTTAGGAGACTCGACCGACTTCTTGTGGAGGTGCTGGTGACCGTGATGGCCATGGCGGCGGGCGTGGACGTGAGAAGCGGCAGGGGAGCGCTTGGCCTTGGAAGACAGGCTGTAGATAGCAACCTGCTTCAGCTGCATGGGACCACGGAAGGCGGGCATAAGCTAGGATTTTGTGAGTACTTTTGCGAACATGTAAGTGAATGATGCTGAGAGAAAACAAAGCTTACCTCCTCGTTGAAAGGGGCCAGGGGGCCTGAGAAAGCAACGTCCTCAAAGGTGCAAGAACCATCGTCACCCATGTGGTTGACAGCCTTGTAAGTGCCAGGGTGACCGACATTGGAATACAAGATCTGATCAACAGCACCGCAAAACCAGTTACCACCCTCTTCCTTGGCCGTGCCGGAGCACTGTTGAATGGCCTGGGTAACAGCGGCCGAAGCCAGCATGAGAACCGTGTAAGACTTCATGTTTGTTCTAGTGTCGTTCTCGAAAAGAATGATTGGAATGAATGTCCAGAAATTGAGCTTTGCTGGGAAATTGGAGTGAGTTCCTCTGGATATTTGACCGGCCTCGAAGAGAATTGCAAGTGGCTGGTAAAAGTAATGTAGGAATGTCCCAGTGGTGTATGGATAGGGCCTAGGTTGTTCTTTGACTCGACTTGCGAGATGTGACTGGGTTTGTTAGGAATGTTGGCGTACTCAGTGAACCCTGTTCAACGGTGTGGCGTGTCTTGTCTCTGAATCAAGGACCAAGTGAGACCAAGGATTGAGTGCGTGAATAAGGAATGACTTGAGACGAGGAGTCTCTTGGAAGGAGAGGCGATGCTATTCGATAGCCGGCAGGTCGAAGTTGTGCTTTAACACTGGATCGTGGGAGAAAAAGAGAAGAAGAGGAGATCTGGAATAAGGTGAGTGTGGGAGGGCTGAGTTAATAAATCGACCTAAGCAAACGAGGAAGTTGCAAGAAGGCACATCTTGGGGAACAAGGTTAATGGGTGGATGGAGAAGGGTAGGATCCAATCTGAGGTGGGTGGACTTTGGCCCCGGTGGATAGGTATGGAGTACGGATGTTGGTGGGCAGACGGGCAGCGCCAGCAGGTCACAGCAGACGGGCAGGCACGAACTGCAGAAAGGCAGGAGCGGACCTGCTTCTGGGCAGGAACCAACCTACAAGGGGGGTCCAGTCGCTCCTTCCCTTGGATTTTGAAGGTGAATTGGATATTTACACGCCTCACCGCGGCAAGTGCCTCCTCCCATCCTTCCTTTCCTCCTTCCTTCTCTGCAGACTGCAAGTGAGGAAGGAGGAGTCCAGGAACAGAAAAAGCCGTTGAATCATTGGACAAAAGAGGGAAACAGAACAGAATGGACCAATCCGGGCTTGATTTTTATGAAACACTGGCTTGGCTCTCCATGGGGTCGTACCTTGCAGCCATTGGCAGGGGAGAACCGAGCTAACCTCGATCTCACCTCAGGCCCAGCAACGATACTTTTCTCCCTCCGCTTCGCCCGCGGCTCCCTTCGTACCTCTGTTGGTCAACTTGCTGGTGCCGTGTTGCATTCTGACCACGACCAGCGGCTGCAGAAGCTGAGCAGACTGTTGTCCTGCGCTTACACAGTACCTTACTGTGATTCCATCCATACGCCGTCCGGAAGATGGTGATGTGGGAGCCACCGTAAACGCCAAGGGCCAAGCCAGGCCGTTTCGCTCTTCTCAATGAGGCTTGGAGAGAGACAACCAACCACCGTCCGGCACGCCCAGCTAGACTTCCTCGGCGTTCTGGGCTCTAATTTTGAGGACGAGGCAAATGCAACATTCGAGGACAACAATGCCGCCAGCTTGTGCCCGACAGGGCAACGAGACGGACGATATCAAACCAGCAAGCAATAGGGCCAGACCGGTCGCGATAGATCAGCAGAGCAATACGAAGAATACTTCATGCCCCCGGGTTTGCCACGCCTCGAGAACACTTGGATCAGGTGACGGCCTCGGCATTGCTGCTCAAGGCTGGGGGATCATTTCGGCTCCCCAGAAACCCGCCGTGCCCGCTCTGCCGTTCTTCAGAAGTTCAGGTCCGCACAAAGACGATGTTCAGAACATCTGCAGCTACTATTCACAAACAACGAGCCTACGGAGTACTTCAGGCTTGTTACTGAGCACTATCCTCGCTGGTCAGCAATTGCAACACACCAGAAGAAGCGCTTCAAAGATAGCCTGAGAGGTGCTATTGTAGCGCCGTCGAGCCCGCCTCAATTTGACTTCAGTCAGTTAATCGTCAGGGGTTGTCGCCCCCGCCAAATTTCGGGGCATTTGGGGGTGGCAGTGACAGCGCCGGCGTTGCTGCGTCTGTGTGTGCTGACCTTGACAAGGTGACAAGCAAGATCAAGCGCGATTCAAGCTTACCGTGGTGTGCGCCCGGTGTCCTCCAAGGTGTGTCCCCATTTCAAGTCCGACGGGGACCCCTCGCTCGACATGGGTTCATCCCAACGGCAGTGACATCTGGAATCCTCATATCGCCCCAATCAACACGCCCGTCCGATATCACTCAATCCACAGAGCGGTCCATCTCATCCGATGTTTAATCGCGCAGACAACTCTCAACAACAGGCACCATCCCGACACCACCGTGCCGTCCAACCCATGCCGCGACACCGCGGAAGGACGGGTTGGGCCTCGCCTCCGGTGGTTCTTAGTCTTACTTTTGCGCTTCAACCCGTCCCAACCTTTGGCACCACGAGGATGAAGGCGACGATCCCTCTGCTCCTTCTCATTAAGACTGAGTGCTACCTGGCTTTGTTGATCCATTCTAGATCCGCTCTGTGACGGATGGCCTTGCTTGCTCGAGTTGCCTGACACCCTGAGTCGCAACCCTAGTCGCGATGGCCGTCCAGAAAAGCAAAAATCCTTGGACAAAACATACCGCGGGACGAAAGGAAAATTTCCGAGGCAGCAAAAAACAAAAAAGCCTAAACCTGGGAAAACCGCTCATCTGCCTACTCCACCGACCGTCCCTTGCGACCCGTCGTGCCACATGGCGGTCTCGCGACATTGGTTCTTTCCATCACCACGTTGACGTCGTTGATCCGCTGGTCCAGCCGTGGGACTCGGTGCAATCTGCTGTGACAAGGCAAAAAGAGGGACAGCCTGACCAGGCCCCTTGTGTCGGTGACGATGCGAGCGAGCTTATCAGAGGAAGAATATTGATGGCCAGGCAAATTGGCAGTAAACAACAAAGCAATCCGAAGCGAAGGCGTCTTTCATAAGCCGGAAGCCGTTGATGACTGAAAGTCAAAATCATCGCCAACCGTCCACGACTTTGGCGTTCGCTGTTCCTGCTTTAGCGGAAACGCCTACCCGAACCGTTTCCATTGGCTGCCCTGGACTTTTTATCTGCATTTGCGCACTCTATTCTCGCCGTGCCGAATGCTTATTCGACGACAGCGTTGCGTAGTCACTGTTGCTGACCATCCTCTGCGCTGCTGTGCAGTCCAGGCGGCAGGCCGGGTCAGGGCGCACCACGTTGAGTATGCCGGCACATCACCAAGGTTCCATCGCTCTTCGGACGTCAACGAGTAAATTTCTTCGGACCTACAGCAGAAGCCAGAGCTCTCATCTTGCATGCGTCCACGTCTCACGAGGTTCCTGACTGGCGCCAGAGTTTGAGCCTTTGCAGTGGACCACCGGGTTCTCGAGTAGGTAGTATCCGGACCATCGCCCAGCTCCACGCACACGGCATTTCTGCGGTGTATCCGTACACCCAACCAGCACGTGAGAAACAGCAAAGTTCGTCGTCTCGAGAGATCTTCGCCTCCCGAACGTCTCAACCGTGCCTCGCCACGTGGAAACGCAAAAAAGATTCTGCCTTACCCCTCCGTTCGATTGGCATTCGGAGAACTAGTTCTTCTCACTTTGAACTCATGATATTCCACCCCAGATCTGGTCTCGGCACGTGCGTAAGAGCGAGTTAAACTACTACATCGTACCTGAAAATCACTTCTCGAAAAGCGGATTCGGGAACGGAATTCCATTCAGCCCTAAAGGAAAGGTTTGGCGCTTACTCAGTAGACCCTCCTGGCACATACCCGCAGAGACGTGGGAGAAAAGGATTTAAATCCAATAGTAGACTTTATCATCTTGAGCCTCATTGGACCAAGTCGCCAACGGGTCTATACTTCCTTCGGGCAAATGCCGTTTGCTACTTGTGACTCACATATCCGATGCAGGTCTGTAAATTCTACCACCTGTGTCCGAAGTTGAGAGATTTTGTGCTTTACTGCGCGATTTCAATCACCGGCCTATCGCCACAGCGGAGTTGTGGCAGCGAGAGGAGGTGTGGATTTCGAGAGCCAAGGCATAATTCTGTTTTGGCTCAAAGACTTTTTTTTGTCAAGAACCCTGGCGATACAACGTCTCGTTCTCTCTACTTACGGGCCATCACCTTGGTGCCTCGTTCCGTAATACTACAAGCAAGTGACGCAAAAAATGGACGGAAGTCAAGTTTGTGGTTTCTATCAACCCGAATGACTATGCAGATGCCTTGGCCTTCTTTCCGCGTCGGGCTCTACCGCTTCGACCATCCTGCCCATTCTCCTCCTCATCATCGACAAACTCATCCTCATCCTCAGCAGCCGCCGTCCTAGCCCTAGCTTTTCTCTTCCCCGTAGTTCTAGTCGGCGCCGCCGTGCCAGCAGCAGCAGAAGCTCCGCCCTCCTGCTCCACATCTCCCGGTTGCTCGCCATTGGCATTAGCCCTTAACCGACTCACGGCGTTAGCCATCCTCTTGCTCGTCGTGCCCTTCTGCCTCGGCGCAAACGCATCCCTCGCGCCCACGCCGACAGCACCCTCAAAGTACCTCGTGATGTTCGTCTGCGTGCCCTCAATGTCGCGCTTATTCATGTCCCGAATCACAGGCACCAGCACCTCGTCGGTGCGCTCCTTGCTCCACCCAATCGTCGCCATCAAGAACTGCCGCAGACCCTCGAGGTCTGGAACGCCCCACTGGAAGTGCTCCGGGCTGTCGTCGACCTCTGGCCGGATGTAGGCGTCCGTTACGGCCGGGTTGGGGAACCCCGCTGGCAGGAAAAGCTTGGTGCCCTGGGACTTGCGGAACTTGCGACGGAAAGGCGACCCCGCGTCGGCCTCCTTGGGCCGGTTGTTCAGCTGCACGTCCGCCCACCACTCCTTGAACTGGGCGAGACCGTCCTTGCCGGGGAACTCGGAGAGGATCTCCACGGCCGTGACGGGACCGACGCCAGGTAAGCCCTCGGTGTAATCGGAGCCTAAAAGCTGAGCAATGGCGATGAGCTGGTCGCGTGAGAGCGAAAGCTCCTTTTCGAGATCCGAGCCGAGGTAGCACTCAACAAACTTGTTGCTGTTGAACATGTTCTTGTAGATACGCGTGCCGCCAAAGAGGAAGCAATCCGAGTCGTCGGTGACAATGCCATCCACCAGGCCCAGACGCACCAGCTCC